ATGTGCCTGGCCTTAACAATCTTCTTTTGCAAGCTTTGCAAGAAAGAGATGTACTTGCTTCTTGCTGCACTTTCTTCCACTTGGAAGTTTAAAGTAAATATTCATTGCTTATTCTTTAACCTAGCAAGGCGTTCTTGGCACTGCAGGGAGAGGGATATGCCTCCCTTCAAAGGAGAGATGAGAAGGAGATTTAATGCAGTTTGCAGGGACCTGAACACCTCCCAGCACAGTAGTTTCTCTGTAGCAGTGGATAAAAAGATAGAAAACTGCACACTCGCTTCTCTTTTGCTAGATACAGCCCCAAAATGAGCCTTCTAAGAAGTAAACTTAAACTACTGTCTCACATGTCACTCCCCTAATATATCCTAGTACTTGTTTGAGCAGTAAGCTGCCAGCAATGAACACATGCTATAAAACAGGACAGAATAAATCTAATAACGAGGAAAATAACATAAATTTTATGGAAGTTTCATTTTCTAAATCTTGTAATATTCTGAAAACAATTCAGAATGAATTGAATGCAGAGAGAGCTATGAAATGAAACGTTATAAATTCTGGAATGAGAAATGTTTTCATACAGAGAATTGTTTCAGAATATTCTGAGCCACATTTTTCTGGCTGTCAGGTAAATATTATGAATATGAGTTGTACAGCACAGAAAATAGCACCTCTCAGCAATAATTACACAGCCCATCTGTATTCTCTTTAGGGAATTTAGAATCATGTCATATATATCCTCTACAAATGCTTTAACAATCCCACAAAATCATGAGGAGAGAACACAAAGGAAAAGAGACTCCAAAATCTCTACTTCATGTCTAGATCACATTGTACAAAGAATGTTTTGTTCTGTTTATCAGCAGAGTAAATATTGAGACAGAAATTGTGTAAAGCTGATGTGAAGCACAAGATTTCAGTTTCTCTGCTACAACAAAACATTGAATTTCACTTAAAATGTCCTTTTTTTTCCCCTCTCTTTTGGGCTGGGGGGAAGTTGGTGGGGTTGGTTTGTTTCTGAAGTACATTGGGGTGAAATTCTGAAAGAAATATGATTTCAAACACAAAAATGCTTTGAGGGCTTTTTTTTTTTTTTTGAAACAAAGCACTTCTATTACACTGTAACTTATTTCCTCTGTTTTTTCCAGCTTCATTCAAAAAATGTGCCATTATTCCTAACTGGGACCCAGATAAGAGCAGAAAGAACTAAAGAAAAAAGAATAAGAGGAAAGTAGGAATACAGCAAGCATGAGGGAAAGATGATAGAAGAAAAATGGACAGCAGGAAACCAATTTGCAGGAATACTCCTACTCAGGAGAAGCACATCCCTCTGAGGCTCAGCAGAGGTTGTTAGAGAGCCAGAAGGAAAGGGAGAGATGGAGGAGGAAGGGTGAGACATGAGCAAGAGGGGCAAGGAAAGTGAAAAGTATGACGGAGAACTGAAAAAGAAGAAAGGAAAAACTGGGAGAACAGAGTAAAAGAGCCACTCAAATCTCTGGGATAAAACTTTGCCTCGTTACTCTCAGTACCCCTGATATCTAACAAAAAGGGAGCAGCTTAAGGCTCCTGGCTTGGGTCCAGTCCCCACTACTTCGAGCTCACCCTAACCACGGGATCTCCCACCACCCTGTTCCAAAGGACAGCTGGGAAAGTGTCTTCCAGGGAATGAACAGAGACTCACATAGCCACAGCACCACAGGCTTGCCCCTTGCCAGCCCTCCTCACACTTTCCTAACCCCAAACCTCCCCCATCCCCCAGTTTTGGCTGAAATTGTGTAACATAGTATGATTTTGCTCACAGAAGCCCCTTCTGGCTTAACCTGTTTAAATCAAGGCTTGCTGACACCACCTAAACACTCCTGATGCCTTTACTGTAGGTAGCTGGAGGTCTCATCCCACTGTGGGCAGAGAGCTGTCACATGGGCATGGTCTGACTCCACCACACACAGGAGGTCCCAGTTCCTTTGGACTCAATTTAATTTCAAGATTTAGGTTTGTTCTCTGCATTCTATTCAATTTGTGTTCTCAGCATACAGCTTAACAGCTCCTTTATGATAAACTGTAGAATATGCCATGAATGTATGCTAATAATCATAGTTATTTTTTATGTAATTATTCACATTCATTATAGGTCCACTGTATAATAAAAATCTTAACATTACATATTTTCTGTAGTGGAATTGTTCTATAAACTTCAGTGAAAAAAAAACTTTCTTTTTTATATAAAAGTCACATCCAAACTTTACTTTTGAAGACTTGAAAATAGCATCACTTGAATAGATTTTTCCCATTTCAGGAACAAAATTATTGGATGACAACAAACTACTACATTTATTCACTGTTGTTTCTAGCCTAGACCATGATTCAAGTGTACTTCAGCTAACTTCCCAGACTGGTCCTCAAGACCAAGGTGGCAAAATGTTTTACAGCAAGGCCAGTAACTGGGTTGCAGAGTCCATCCAGCTCTAGAATAGCTCTGGAAACAAAGAACTAAAGAGAGAGGACACAAGAGGGAGAAGAGAGAGGGTGGTGAAGTCAGTCCTGCTGTCAAATTTTGGTTTGGCCATGTAAGACCCTCAGTTACACAGATTCTTCAGAACCTTTTGAGCCAAGTTTCAAACAGAGCAAGCTCTTCCAGATGTAAGTCCCTGGAAGACTGGATTTACCACACGGGCACTGCCAGAACTGTAGCTGCAGCACTGCTACCGGGTGCTGCTATAATCCCATCAGATCACATAATATAGATGGCTAAGGAGGTTTTGTGAGCCTGGCCACTGTGCCTGCCTAATTTATAGTGTTCATGTCAGGAAGAAATCAAGTTTCATAGTTATGACATTTCTTTCTGGAGCACTAAATGTTAACTTTGCTGATCATGCATATCTGGGTAGAACAGCTTATTTCTAAATGGCAAACGTGATATAAAAAGCATAATGACTTCATTCAAAACCTTTATAAGGCAGCTGATTCTCACACCTATAGAAAAGAGGCCAAGTGGTATTTTAGTCATCAGAGTATGGAAATACTCAACATATTTGACTAATTTCTCCTATTTTAAGTAACAACATGATGCTCGAATTGCGGCCTGTCTAAAACTAGTCTTTTTTTGTACTTATTTAATGCACTTAAATAATGTCATATAATAAAAGCAATACTGCTGACAGGTAACAACAGCAGTGATGCTTTTCTTTTATGTGTTGTGTTTTGTTTTGTACAAGGTTTTCATCTCAATTAGTCATCATTCAGAGCTAGATAATTGTACATAAGGGAAGGAAAGGACAAAAGGAGCCTCACACTCTCTGTAATAAAAATCATCTACAGTTTCAACACTCAGAACAAATGAGAGAAAGATGCAGCATCGTTTGACAGGGGAGGGTAACACAGCAATGGACACACACTTCACCACTGTCACATTAGCTACTGGTGTATTTTCCCCTACATTATGTGGAGGAAATAATTCCCACTAGAGTGCTGGTGAGACCTACTGTTGCTGTGGAGATATTGTGTATCCTCTAGTGCAGGTGTTGGGGAAAAAAATAGCTGTAAATGAGAAACTAGCATCAGCAAAGGCTTGCTAATGAGCATCCTTAAACCTAACTGCTTGCAAAACCTGCAGTTTATATTACAAAGAACTAGTGTTGTTTAAAAATATATATTTAATAACCAAACCTTATGCAGTCTACTTGCTGCTACAACTATTCCACTGCTGTATGTAAGTTACTATTTTCTCAAGAGGCCTCTGAACAGCTGAACAAAATGTTACTGAGTGAAACAAATGGAACTTCAACTAATTTCTAACAATTCAGTGACTTGCATTAACTAATGGACAGCTGGACATCAGAAATATCACATTTCCCCCACATGGTCAACAACTGTGCAGCTACACTGATGGTAAGGAGAAGGTTTTATAGCTCTTAATGCTACATAGTCCCTAACTGGGGAATGCACCACCCCTGAAGAGGAACCAGCAACAAGAACTTTCTCAGTGATAAAATATTGGTATTTTATAATAAAGGTGTTTTGCAATGAAGATATAAGAGATAAAGTTCAGCAAATCCACGGAAGTTATTAGAATAACGCAACTCAAAACTTTGATATTCCAGACTGATGGGGATACATGAGTGTAAAGGAGCATAAATATCAAAATAAAAAGACATGCACTTTTCAGAACAGAGAGCTCTATGACTCATACAGACTAAAATAACTACCTTTTAAAGCTGAAAAAACTTTATTTTATCCACAAGAAGCATGCACATACATGCAAAACCACACAGAAGTTAAGACTGACAAAACCTTTTGGTTTTCCTCAATAAAAAGAGGACACAGTGTGTGTGAGTCCCACAGCACCAGCCCTTCATACGCCCTGAGCCAAGACTCGGCTGCATTGAAAATGTCTTGTCTTGACGTATGCTTTAGTGTGTGGCAGGACTTCTGCTCTCAACACAGGCATGAAATTTTCTTAACAACCTGCTTGGAAGAGGCTATCAGAAGCCTTTCAAAAGAATAAGCATGTTTTATCTGGCTAGCAGGAAATCTAGGTGTGGCTACCAGAGAATCCACTTACTAAGGTACCTGTGATGATCTTCTCTGCTATTAACCTGTTATGAAATCACACCACACCGCAGCTTCTTTTATGTTCTAGAGCATTTTCATTCTCTAAGTTTTTCCTTTTTTTTTCCCCCATTTTCTAAGTATAACATTATGTTTGATTTTGCTCAACATTTTAGAACAGCTTTAGAGCTTCAACAGATGCAGCACTGCTTATTCCCCGGGCCTCTTGTGAGTGTTAGTATCTGTTTTTAATTACATCACAGATTTTTAGATAGAGCAGAGCATTTTAACTTCTTCACTGCACTCGTGGGTATCTCCTCAGACTGAAGCACTGTCAGGAGCAGCAGACCAGGTGTGCTATAGGCAGTAGAAGCTCAATCCCTACGAAAGTCACTGCAAATGTTTTTGCTAGCCAGGAAAAGTTATTTTTTCCAAGTCTCACAGATGACTCTTACCTTTATAACAGAGGCCCCTGCCCTGGAAAGAGGACTGTGCATTTGGGCTGCTGCAGCCATGTTAGCTATGGTGTTGAGGTGGTTCATCTGGTTCATGGCCATGGCCACCGAGGCGGGAGGTAGGCTGACGGGAAGCAGAGGGTGGGGCATCATCATGAACGGCAGCTCTAGCCCTGGAAGAGAGCACGGGCAGGTTGCACCTGGCAGTCCCCCATTTTATAACCCAGCACCAGAACTTCTGGGGTCTGCCTTCTCCTGCGACATTGACCACGATTATTAGTTCACATATACAGCAATCTGAGAATAGATTTTTATATTAGGAGTAGTTCTTGAATACAGGAAGCTGTGGGTTGGAACATAAACACTACTGAACTAGCATACAGAAACTCTGTGAACTGAAAGATGGAATGAGAGATTAAAATTGTTGCCAGAGGTTTTGATTTCCAAAAAGTCACTTTAAATTGTCTTCAGTTATGGATATAAAACAGTTTAAAAAGGTATAAAATTCATTCGGACTAACCTGCAGATATTGACATGGCCAAAAGGGTGATGTTACTGCTAGCAACAATTAGATTCCCATGTTTCCTTAATATCTATTTTAGCATGTGCACTACTTTTTGTATTTAGTAATGATTACAATGGAAAGCAATACCAAAACACCAATTCACTGGAAAACTTGTTTAAGGTTATTCTGCATCTAATAATTCTTTTGAGAGACTACTTGGAGATAGCTTACCTTTGGGCACCCAAAACTATTTTTTCAGAAAAAATAGGATTAATTCTGCCAGACAAAATGTCTTATCATTTTTCTAAATGAAATTTAGATTATAAACTCTCATTAAAATATTCAGGTACAAGTAGTAAACAACATAACCATATAGCTACTCCTAACCACATGCTATTCACATTAATTGCTTCTGTAAGTTTTTAAACTTTTAGCTCTATCTTAACTATTTTAAGTGAGGCCAGTCATCATTTTGGTGTATGACAGAACCCACAATAAAAAAATACCATTGACTGATATAGCTTATGTTATTTCAGTACAATTTGGCTATAGTGATAGAACACTGTGCCCACCACAAAAGACAGAACCGTATATATTCTGAGCTCCCACTCCATTTCTGCTTAGTTTGAGTATATCATGACCAACAACTGTGATGTCTCATGATTCACTATATATTTTATATGAAGATTCCTGCCAATATTAATTATGATAGGTAATAAGCAAAGCCCACATACTTGATTCCCTTGACTCTAAACCATAATGACAATCCCCTTCAGTGCTCACATCCATAAGCTTTTGTTCCCCTGCAGATCTCCCTTAACAGCCCAATAATCTTCCTCATACTCTATAGAGTTCCAAAACTCCCAGACACCATCTGGCCACGTTGAGTTGTATGTCTACTTAAAGTCCAATTGACATGCAAACTAAATGCAAACTACAAACAGAATTTAACAGCACATCACCAGTTTTAAGACACAATCCGTCAAACATTTCAGAGGACTATGAAGAAAATATATCCTGCACTTGCAAATCATTGGACATAACGTCTGACATCCAATAAACCCTTTAATAGCCTATAGACATTTGCCTAATACAAAATCTGCTGGAAAATATCCTTAGTTTTCTTTAACAGCAAAGACCACAATATCCCTGTATGTAAAGCATATACAGGTATTGAATTATACAAGAATATAAAATGAAAGGATAAACTACAGTGAATTTGAGTCCTATGATCTGGTGACAAGATCTTAACTACTGCCACTTAACCCGAAATGCTCAGGTCCATACCCTCCAATGAACAAAGCAGACCCATGCTGTAGGAGTCATCTCAATAGCCTTGATTTGTTCCAGTCTGGGGCCCTACAAAGGCAGCAGGAACTATCTGCTCGTAAAACTGTGTAAGGATTCAGAAATGTCATTCATCCATTAAAACTAACAGCAAAAAATCACTCTCCAAACTTCAAGGATGAAGAGCTTAAACAAATACAAGAGTTCAGAAATAGTGACATTGTTCATTCTTCATCCGTCTACAGCTGTTAGAATTAACTTTACTCCTCCCTAATTTTAAAAATATAAATCCTGAACACCTTTCTTGGAGTAACTTTCCCTTCCCCTCCTCTTTGTGTGCAAAGGAGAAGGGGAACTCCTGGCTTCCCTCCTGCCCCCTCCCTAAGGTAAGGTAAAGAGATGGGTTTGATAAGAGCTTCAAGTTCCAAATCCAAACTTTACCCCTGTCACTTTATTCCAGTTGCTTTGGATAGCTGGGTTCAATGGATGACCTTGCCCACATCTGGCAGGTGAAAGGCAAAACAAGGCAGAGGGACTGCTTCTCCTTGCTTTTAACTATTTATTTCTCCTGGAAGAGAAGTTTCTCACATAGCTAAAACTTTAAGCAGCTTTATGGTTATTTTTGCCTTTGGTCCAGGCCATGGAAATGCCAATTAAGGGCTGCCAGTCCCTACCCCAGCAGTGGGTGGCTATTCAAAGAGCGTGGCTGTATCCCAGCCTGGACGTGATGCACAGAAGTCAGACAGAGGACTGACCCTCCTGTGTCTCCCACCCACCTTCCCCACGTCCAGGAGGCTGGCAAGAATTCCAGCCCAGCCTCCAAGCAGGGCCCTGGTTCTGCTTCTTCCCCCTGAGAGCCCAGAGTACGTACTGTTGGTGAGCAGGTGGTTCTGCTGCAGAGGGCTGAGGGGGTGTGCACCACCGAGGCTCGACTGCCCCGACAGCGTGGGGTGCCCGATGCTGTGCTGGGATCCCGTCGTAATGGGAGACTGCAGCTTGTCTTTATCCCAGGAGGACTCACTCCCCCCTGCAAAACAAAACACAAATGGTTTGTACTTCCCTTCAAAAGACATGTTGCTTGGTTGGCAACGAGTTAATACTCTTACAGCACCTGAAGCCTACACCTTAAGGGGTTTTTAAATTAAATTAATAAAATGCATCAAGCAAAAGATATGATTAGAGACTTTTGGCATCAGCTACCTTTCTAACAGCAGTTTCTAGAAACAGGAGAAGCTAAATGTTTAAGGATAAAATTATCTAAGTAAACATCAGTCACGACTAAGTAAATAAGGCAGAAAGGGAACAACTGAGGCACAGAATCACCACTTCCTACCATGGGAGGGAATCCAGCCACCCAGTCCCTGCCAGAGCCTCACCAGTGTCCAACCTCAGGCCCTTCGGGTCTCTCACCACTGCTCATCTTACTGGGCAGTGGCTGCTGCTGACTCCCCCCAAAGCCCCCTAGCATTTGAGCTTAGATTCATCCCCAAACTGGTTACATCAACTTGGCATCTCTGAGGTTAAACATCTTCCCTTTCACCACTGGGTTTAATCCCGGGGAAGTCCTCAGTGAAACGCTTCACTTTGGTAGGTGAAACAAGCCAGGCATTAGGCTGGGCTTGGAAACCATCAGGAATTTAAAGAAGTCAGGAATTTAAACTTAAGGAGTCCAGATATCTATTGTGCACAGTAATTACTGTCTACAGCAAAACCACAGTAGAGCAAACGAAGCACTTGTGTTCAGTCCAGAGTATCTGTCTGGCCTTCTAAAGAGAACAGATTCTGCAGCAATTTTACAGCTTGTAGCTTTCTTCAGTACTACACACTTGAATAACAAGTACCCTTTGAACAGCAGCTAAGTAAACCGTGTTAGTGAATTCTGAAATACATCTGGTCCACGAAATAACCATCTTAAAAAAGTTAAGACTGAACATTTCTGGAGTAAGAAGGTATTTTAAGTCCTCTCCCTTCCCAGGTACTCCCCACATTTTCAGTTATAGATTGTTAGGACAACGTATAACTGTAGTATTGACTTTGTTTTGAATTTATGAACAAAAATTTCAATTAGAATAAGTAAATAGATTACTGTGATGCAGATATAGGCAGCAAGCAAAAAACCATTTTAATTGAATATGAAAGTAACAGAAAAATCCCATTCTTTATGACAATACATAGCTAATAAACATGATTAATACAGTTAAATGAAAAAGTTTGAAAGATCAATGATTGAAAAAAAGGAAATCACTCCATCAATTTAGCACTATGCCCAAGTATGAATTACCTTCCCAGAAAAGATTTGTAATTTGTAAATTGATGAGCAATACATTGACAAAGAAAGATACACTAAATTACACCACGTGATATAATATAACATGGCAGAGTGCAGTAATTAGAAGAGCTACTACAGTTAAGGCTGTGTCAGCATCTTTGTTATTTAATCCATCCTATATGAGCTCTTTCAAATAACATTTGACTGATATTTAGTATAGAAGTTTTTCATTCTGACTGTTGTGAAACAGTGGTGGTATTATCTGGTAAAGCGTTTCTCAAGTTAATTTAAGTAGGATTTTCTGAAGAAATGTTTAGCATTTGATTTTACCAAATTAGTTTGATTTTTCTCCATATGCTTTTTGAGTAAATTTAATGTTTACATTTTATTCTTCCTCAAAAAAACACACATGACATTTACTTTAGCATGATTTTCTTTCCATAGAAATAGATTTTGTACATGTAACTTTATGTATCAGGGCAGTGGCCATGAAAACTGTACACAAGACAGTTTGTCAGAGATCTTTGAATGAAAATAAAACCCCACACTCATCTAAAGGTCTCCTTTGCCCTGTTTTTCTCCAGTACTTCCAACCCCAGGTGCAGATGGTCTAAACCTTTTTTTCTGGAAGTTCCTCTTGTCTTTGCAAAGCTTCATGTATCTACCTACTGTTCTTCTGTGGCCCTGAAGCTGCAGTGCCCGAGTGCCCCACCAGCACTCTGTGCCCAGCTTCACAACCCATCCATGCCCTACAGGGCAGCACAACTATTCCTGATTTACAGATGGGGAATTGCACTGCACAGAAAAGTGACTTCCTTAAGGGAATACAGGAAACCTGCACGGAACAGGAAACAATTTAAATTATATCATGCAGTCCAAATCACTGGACCAGTTTTCCTTACAGATGAGGACAATAATAACTTCTTCCCCTGTAAATTCCACTCGTGAATCTGCTCCAGCATTCAGTGCCAGCAACACAAGAATAAACTGCAGTACACTTATCTCTACAGACCATTCCCATATTCTTATGTTCCTTTTCATTCTCCTTAAAGAAGGGAAAAATATACTGCTGAGTGTATGATGTATAATAAAAGTACAGGTTAAATGAAATGTATCCTGTAGTCTGCAGAACACCACGTAGACAATGGCTTCATCACTTAATCTGGACTGCATATACCATGGGTTAGCAAGTCTCCTAAAAGAAAATAATAATTAGAAGAACCTCTTACCTAGAACTGTCCAATTGTGATGTGTTTTATAAGGGCATAAGCATTTTCTTATTTAATAACATTGTTATAATGCATGTTGTATCAGCAAGTGCATATTTGACACATATATCTATATTAATGCTTATTTTCAAATTCTTTGTTACCATAACTATTAGAAGTGAATACATCTATAAAAAGTAAAGCCTCCTTCATACTTCAAATTTAGGTTTAGCCAAGATTTCTGTTCATTGTTATTTTTTGTCCAAGTGGGTGTCATTAACGAGGCAAAGATGTCTTTTTCTGATTCTAAATGCTGTCTTGGGTATGACAAGCTTACAGGTGAAACTAAAAATGAAACATTATATGATCCACACAATATACCACAAAGAAATAGATTTATGGGAGTCAGAATTTCTGTCATGATATTCAAAAGGTTTGGTCTTTGAAGAAATTTGTATCAGAAAAAAATTATTTCTTCATTCACACTAAGCTAGTGAAGGCTTTTATTCTTTTTAACATAGAAGATAAGAAGCCTAAAATTAAACAATGATCTGTACTACTGTATATAGATATGGACTCTAAGTAATTTCTTTTAGGTATAGATGAAACAAAAGAGGAAAAAAATGTATGAAAAAGAAAGCAAACATACAATGCTATGGAAAATGAGTCAACAGAACACAGCAATGGAACTTTACCTCTTGTGTATAAAGGGAAATATAGCTATTTATTTACTTTAAATGAGAAAGGATATTTTAAAATACTAGTAATTTGATTTGTAAGTGTCATAGGAATATTACTAGAGTACTCAGAAGTCTGTTGATTTGTCAAAATGCCAATACATCATTTATACCCTTTACAAAAAGCTCTACATGTAACCCTGTTACCCACTACCCATACGACCTTCTCTCCAACAGATACAATGAAAGGACAGAAAGGTATTTTTTCCTTATCTTGTTTGCATTCTAGTTGATCTTGTCCCAGAATAGATTGTACTCAGCATTAAAAATGGGCAAGAGAGACAAGAACCTCCACCCTCCAGAGCTCCTGATGCTTGTCAGGAGCAAGCACAGAGCCTGTGGTTCCCCAAACCTTGCCACACCAAGGTGGGACGAGACAGGCAGAGATGTTAGCTGGCCATAAGACTGCAGAATGCATAAGACAGATGCTACATGGATTTGCTAAGAGAAACAGTTATTTAGGGTATACTTAATAATTAAAGTCTGATGTTTACCAATCTGAACAGGTTATTTGAGATAACTTATTTATCAGGGCATGAATTACACGTAAGTTCAACTACCCACACTACTCCACACTACTCACAGAGCTGCTGCCAGGAGACTCCCAGCCACGCACACGTCTGCAGCAAAGTGCCTCTGTTTAAATTTCATTTTGTTTACTTGAAGGAAATGCAAGTGATAAGCTCAGCTTCATTTTCCTGAAAATGCTGCTACTCAGCCATCTCCGATTTCAGCAATTTGATAAGACAGCTCTTAAAGCTCCATGTTTTCTAGTAATAAACCTCACAGTGCATTTGTGTTCTTCGTAACAAAATCCAAAAAACTTCCTTTGGTGAAGATATGTTTGTGATGATTAAATTAGTGCCTTGTTTTTGGGTCCTGAAAGATCTCCAGAAAGTAATCAAAGTTCAATTTGGTGACAGTTTCTTTTCATTTGGTTTCAAATTCATTTTATCAGGCATAAAACTGTCTGGTCTAGCTAAATGAAATCCACCGTGTCAGAGGCACCTCTGGATTGAACAACCTTCACTGTTCCAATCCAGGTCTGTCATTTTGGGTTTTGTTGTGATTCATTTCTGAAAAATCGAACTCAAATTGTTAAAAGCAATACCATCTTCACTGTCCAGCTTTACTCCAGAATTATTTTTAAACACAGTTTTCATGCCATTTGGCATATTAAGCATGACATCAGCTGCAAAGAAAGAAGTACTCAGTATTCAGTGCACTGCTATTTCAGCACCCATAATTTTGAGGTCTTTATCATGTCTAACTTCTTTTATGAGTGTCCAGCACACACAAGGCCTCAAAGTTTTTGATTTATCTGGAAGCCCAGTACTCCTAAAACTACACTTGCCTATTTGCCAGCATTCCTAGCCTCAGCATTTTCAGGTGTCCCAGATGATTTCCATTACCAGTGTCCCAATCTCACCTCCACACTGGGAGAAACAGGCACTATTTTGGCCTGCAGAGAATATCCTCTGCAAAAACACTTCAGCCTACAACTTTCTGTTGACTCTTTCCATGGTATCAGCATTGGAAGGTCCCAGGAAGAGAAGATGAGGTAGAAAACCATTTTGTCATGTTTGATAACTGAGAATCTGACTACAGTGAGGACAGGAGGATCCCACCCAGGTCACGTCCCTGGTAAACTGCCACTTCCCTGTCAGAAAAACATAAACTGTCCTGGGTCAGAATTATGACCTATTTAACCCCAAATTCCATCCCTCATATTGGCAGTAGATGATGTTATTTATAGGGACCATGCAAACATAGACAATTTCTGTGGTCCCTTTTGCCTCTAAATAAACTTTCT